CCCCCCTCTCCAATTAGGGCAGTGCTACTGACTGAAGTGTCTTTAGGCCATTCCCAAAAGGAGGGGCGTATTAATATTTTCTTATGCACAGTAGAATTGTAAATGGGCTGATTTATCAATGTCATGCTCATACTGTGCCGAAACAACTTTGGGGAAACTGCTGCTTTTTCTTTTCTCATCCTTACTATCGTCATTTTCCCTCTACTGATTTTGTATGTTTGTCACTGTCTTATGAACTGCTATTTCCGGGATGCATTGATAGTCGAAGCAGACTTTGAGCTGTTGAGGCTAGAGGGGTGAGCAGATTAAGCCTGATTCCCCGTTTGGACTTCTCTGTTGACATCCACCCCTTGGCGCTCATATGACTTTATGCAGTTGCGAGCGCCGTGAGAACCTTACTAAAACAAACAAACGGTATTTTACACATCAGAAACATGAATTTGCATTATCATTATAATATTTCACAGTACGGTATTGCAGGTTACCTTGTTTAAGGTAAAGACACAAGCTTTGATAAATCTGTATGAATAATTAAGTTTTTCCACGAAAAAACCGTAACAATTTACCCTAAAACAGTGCGTTCTTAACGAGTTAAACAATTCTCTCATCCCCCTCCTTGTGGGTAGTTGGCGGGTGCTCTGGTGTGGTTTGCTGCTTCTTTCCTATAAAAAAAAAATATCGTCTCTATCTCCCCTCCTTCTTTTATGTGTTTGTTCTCTCTCTCTCTCTCTCTCTCTCTCTCTCTCTCTCTCTCTCTCTCTCTCTCTCTCTCTCTCTCTCTCTCTCTCTCGCCCTTTTTTTAAACTCCCAGAGGAGCATAGGCCATCAACAGCATTACACCAGCGAAGCCTGTCCTGAGCATCCTTTTTTGTGTTTGTTACTCTCTAGTAACACCTCTAATCTTCAGCATTTATATGACCTTATTGTGTTGCAAGTGCCGTAAAATTCTTATTAAAACTAAAACACCCCCCTCCTTTCCAGGGCGACGCGCTGTGCAAAGAGTGCTTCTACTGGGCGTTCGAGGAGGAGATTCACCATACGGTCCTGCAGGCCAAGCTCTTCTCTCCTGGCGAGACCGTCGCCATCGGGGCATCCGGGGGCAAAGGTGAGTGGTGGGGAAAGAGGTGGGGGTTTATCCATGGAGGTTTGTGTCAAGTGTGAAAGAATGGAGGTTTTGTTGAGGTTTTGTGTAAAATGATGGGATTTTGTGGAGGTTGGTGTAAAATGATATGGTTTTATCCATGGAGGTTTGTATGAAAGGATGGGGTTTTGTGGAAGTTTGTGTAAAAGGACGGAGTTTTGTGGAGGTTTTTGTGAAAGGATGGAGGTTTGTGTGAAAGGATGTGGTTTTGTTGAGGTTTGTGTGAAAGGATGGAGGTTTGTGTGAAAGGATGTGGTTTTGTTGAAGTTTGTGTGAAAGGATGGAAGTTGGTGTTAAAGGATTTGGTTTTATGGAGGTTTGTATAAAGGATGGGTTTTTTATGGTGCGGGCTTGGTTCTGGGGAGAGAGGGTAGTGGGGAAGGGTGTGTGTGTGCATGTGTGTGTATGTTTGTGTGTGTGTGTGTATGTGAGAGAGAGAGAGGAGAGAGAGAGAGAGAGAGAGAGAGAGAGAGAGAGAGAGAGAGAGAGAGAGCAGGAAATAATCACCCAAGGGATGTAACCGAGATAATGTTTTACACAGTCGAAGGGAAATAATAAAGACAACATTTACCTCCCATTGTCGGCAACTGCCGATTTGCCTGTCCTGTGGGCTCATTTTTATTTCTTCCTCATTATTATAATTAAAAATCCTGCATTACTGGCATGGAGTAATAAGGTAATGTTCTTTGGAATTATAAGTTATTGTTCATTTGTGGATTTGTACTTGGATTTATCATATTATGTAACGCGCCTAGAGATATGCACACACATGCGTAGGCATTTAAGAATTATCTACATTCTTCTTCTTCTTCTTTTTATTATTATTATCATGTTGTTGTTGTTATTTTATGATTATTATTTTTTTTATTGTTATTATTAATATTATTATTATTATCATTATTATTT